TAGGAGGATAGTTGACTGCCGATCTTGGCAGTTCTTGTCGGGTTAGTGGGATCGATGAGGACCTCGACAAGCTCTTCCACTGGTTCCCCTCTGACCAGCTCGTCCTCGTCTCTGACGTCGAGTCCTTCAATGAACGTAGCTTATTTTAGCTTGACCTCTTTAAGTGAAGTGACGTAACATTCTCTGGCCATGGTTTGCTCTCCTCTCACCGTGCCGACCCCAAGGTCGGTGGGGAATTTGACAGCAAGATGGAAAGTGGATGTGATAGCTTGGAAAACATTTAGGGCGGTGCAGCCGAGGATGATATTATAAGCAGAGGGACAGTCAACGACAAGGAAGGTAAGCAACTTTGTGGTCTACCGCGGGTATTCGCTGATTGTGATGGGGAGATTAATGGAGCCGATGTAGGTCACCCGATCTCCAGTGAAACCGACCAATGGGGTTTGGAGAGGGAACATACTTTCTTCCTCAACCTTGAGCTGGTGAAAGGCATTTAGGAAGATGATGTCCAAAGAACTGCCGTTGTCGATGAGAACCCTTCTAACTTTGTAATTGGAGAGGAGGGCAAAGATGACGAGGGGATCGTCATGGGGGTAACAGATGCCTGTGCAGTTGGCCTCCGTAAAGGTGATGGGCTCTATCCACTGCTTGGGCTGTTTGGAAGGGCGGTCCAATGTGGCAACTTCTTTGTCTGAGCCCTGCCTTTTTCTTATGAGTTCTGGCTGCTGAGCCAAGCAGGATGGTCCTCCACAAGAAAGCCCGCTAGCAATAACTTTGATTTCTCCAACAGGAGAGGCGAGGTTACCTTGTGCTCGGGGTTGCTGTGGAGGGCGATCATGACCTTGGTTAGGTTGTGCTGGTTGCCGGGAGGGGTGCGCCGGCAGTTGTTTCTGATGGGTTTAGTCCTTTGCCTCTGCTGAGGGCTGGCGTCCGTGAAGCTACTGAGACGTCCCTGATGTATCAAGCCCTCGACCTGGTCTTTGAGGTTGACACACTCCTCGGTATTATGGTCGTGGTCCTGGTGAAAACGACAGTATTTGGATTGGTCTCGCCGGTCGGAAAGAGACCGCGATGGTTGGGGCCATTTTAGGGGATAATCTCGTTGAATCTGGTTCAAGACTTGTTCCATGGGGGAATTGAGAGGGGTGTATCGTTCGAACCGGCTAGGCGGTCGGGTTGATGCCGACCGGTTGGCTCGGGGTGGTCGGTCGGTATACTGAGGTGTTTGGCGAGTGTACTGGGTGTTTTTGGTTTTTGAGTCCTTCCTCTTCTCTTTGGGGGTCGGGTTTTTGGCTATAGGATCTTGTCGGGCGGCTAGGGAATCTTCGGCGTTCATGTATTTTTAGGCTTTAGAAAGTAGGGTTGCCATGGAGGTCTGGGGGTTTTTGGAGAGGGAAAAAAGGAAATCAGATAATCGTAGACTGGCCATAAAAGCCGTGAGGATGACCTTGTTATCATTTTTTGCTACGTGCAAGGCCTCAGTGTTGAAGCGGGTGACGAAGCCGCGCAGTGACTCTCCCTCTGTCTAACGGATGTTAAGGAGTTGAGTTGCCGGACGCCGTTGGTGCTGGGCACCAATGAAATGGCTAAGGAAGGAGTCACTCAGGTGTTGAAAAGTAGAGATAGAGTCCGTCGGGAGTTGACTAAACCACAGTCGGGTCGACCCCTTAAGTGTTACAGGGAAAGCCCGACACATGATTTCATCAGGGAATGCATAGAGAATCATGAGGGACCTGTAGGTCTCCAAGTGATCGATTGGGTCCGTTGTACCGTCGAAAGAGTCAATCGATGACATTTTAAACTTAGGAGGTAGAGGTTTGTCCCTGATGGAGGCAACGAATGGTGAGTTGGCTGTGGTTGATGGTTTATTCTGTATATTCTACATGACTCCTTGGAGATGGAGCTTCATGGCTCGGAGTTCTACATCCCAGAGAGGAATGTTGTCACCACCGAAAGGCAGCGGAGGCTGGACGCTACTGGCCTCTCCTTTGGGGGTTGGTACAGGGACCGATGCATATGGGGCCCAGGGTGACAGGTTTATATCCGAGGGAGGGGGTTGCAAGCCTTCCAAGTTGGGTGGATAGGGCTGATGGATAGTGTGGCTCGGAGTTCGTTCTTGGTTTGGTGGGATATTTAGAGGTGGTAGAGGGGGCATAGGAAGGTTTCTTTGGAGTAGAGCATTAATTAGGGCTTGGTTTTGTTCGGCCAGGCAGTTAATGCTGTTGGTGAGCTCGGTGAAATACTGCGGTGGGTTGTTTGGATTGGGAGGGTCGGCTCGGTGGTCAGCAACATTGTGGTGAGAAGCCATGGATCTAGTTGTGACCATCCACCTTGGTGGGTGGCAGGAAAGGGTTAATGGGAAAGGGTCTCTGGCAACAATGAGCACAACTGGCGCGCAAAACAAAGGAACTTCCCATAGACGGCCCCAACTGATGATACTGCGTGTGCCAGATGGAACGGGTCGGACTAATCCATGCTTCCCAAACCAGGATCCGAATGACCAAGCCCACAGAGGAACTTGCACAAGAGTTCAACGGGGAACAGGGAGTCCCCCAGCGAATCCTCCGACGAGCAAGTTAGAAAGAGAGGTGAAATATAGAGATAGATTAGAGATAGAAATCTTAACCTTCTTCTTGTCTTCGACGTCTGCTTATATCCTCTGCTAATCATTTCGTTGTCTCTTCCGACCTATCATCTTGGTCGAAAGTCTATGCTCTAGCTTGCCTTGTTCATGGTGAGGCCGTTCTGTCTCGACCGGGGGGGTTATCGCAATAAATGCTGTAAGGAACTTCATTAATGGCTGATGTGCAGTGCAATAACTTTGTAGGATCTTTGTTTGTTTATGTGGCTTGTCTTTCTCTTGCCACGTGTTTAGGTGTCATTGGTTCTTAATGCCATGTTGAGCTCCAGCAACGTTGGGTTTTAGTATTTGAATTACGTATTGGGCCCTAAGTGATGGGCTTGAGTTGTTCATGACGGACTATAATCTTTATGGACGTACCCATGTCAATTTAAACACTAATTAATCACTGTCAATCATTAAGCTTATTAATTCAAAAACGAGTCAAGTCAAATGAATCATGCGTATAATATTTAGTCAAATCAATCATATATATGTAATCAATAAATATCGACGAAGAACAATTATTTAATACAGTAAGTGATAATACTGCAGAATCATCATCTAGCTATTTATCAAGATATTTGTGTAGGACCTACGTAGGACCACAAATATAGGATGGCTGTGGATGACTTTCCCACATTGTCACATGCTAATTGTTTTAGCATTACCACACACTTAACAAGGCTTACAAAGTAGTAAGAAGTTATGTTACATATATTTGGGTATGGTTATTGAGTATGGATATATATTTAGAGGTCAGATTTAATAAATTATAAATTTAAAGATAAGTAGACTCGATAAAAAAATATCAAAATTTTATATTTTTAATTAATTATGTGAGATAGAATGGTGTGTAATTCACAACAACAATGATGAAGAGCACTAATTTTAAAGCTTTAAAGAAAGCTTTAATGATGTGGCAAGAAAAAAAAAAGTAAAAAACAAAACAAAAATATAAGTACACACATCACATCACATGTGGGTCCCACTCCTTACTACATCACTAGAACTCTCTTTAAAATTTCAAAATTAAACTTTCTAATCTTTATTCTAACTTACAATATCAAAAAAGTATGAAAAATGCTTAAGGCTCCCTTTTTTTGAAAACCCTCACGACCCTCTATAGATTTCAACCATTGATATATATATGGGACCCACCAATATATGTGTGGGGCCCATATTCAAAGGAGATTGTGGGGTCTCCAAAAAGAGGGATTCTCAATCATTGTTGAAAAAGTATTTATATCAATTATACAATAATATGTACATATAATAGTAGTGTTAAATACGATTACACAAGAAGTGTCCGATGAAAAATATCCGACACATATCAAAAATTTCAAAATTAGACTTTCTAATCTTTATTCTAACTTACAATATCAAAAAAGTATGAAAAATGCTTGAGACTCCTTTTTTTGAAAACCTTCACAACCTCTTTTAAATTTCAACCATTGATATATATATGGGACCCACTAATGTATGTGTGGGGCCCATATTCAAAGGGGATTGTGAAATCTCCAACAAAAAAGTATGAAAAATGCTTAAGACCCCCTTTTTTTGAAAACCCTCATGACCCTCTTTAGATTTCAACCATTGATATATATATGGGACCCACTAATGTATGTGTGGGGCCCATATTCAAAGGGGATTGTGGGGTCTCCAAAAAGAGGGATTCTCAATCATTGTTGAAAAAGTATTTATATCAATTATACAATAATATGTACATATAATAGTAGTGTTAAATACAATTACACAAGAAGTGTCCGATGAAAAATATCCGACACATCAAAAATTTCAAAATTAGACTTTCTAATCTTTATTCTAACTTACAATATCAAAAAAGTATGAAAAATGCTTGAGACCCCCTTTTTTTGAAAACCTTCACAACCTCTTTTAGATTTTAACCATTGATATATATATGGGACCCACTAATGTATGTGTGGAGCCCATATTCAAAGGGGATTGTGGAGTCTCCAAAAAGAGAGGGTCTCAATCATTGTTGAAAAAGTATTTATATCAATTATATAATAATATGTACATATAATAGTAATGTTAAATATGATTACACAAGAGGTGTCCGATGAAAAATATCCGACACATATCTAATACCCTTATTCAAGTGACGGTATCTAACACGAATATTTAATTTATTTAAAAAAATCAGTCTAACATATATATATATATATATAAGAAGTAATTATTTAGTGCAATTAATAAAGAACAGTTGTTCAATGCAGTGTGGAGCAATACTGCCAAGCCATCTATCACCAACCATTTATGTGGATTCCCCATGAAACCCATACACATGGAATGATAGTGGATCGCTTTCCGACGTTGTCACACGCTGCATTGACTAATTTTTCCGATGTTAGCTCACCGAGTAGTACGGAGCAGCTGACACCACACTGACGGGCTCAGACCCGTCAGGAGGAGAAAGAGCAAAGAGTGCAGCCTGGAGGAGCTGGGTTGAACCAGTCCCCACCACCATGTAATAATCGTCCACCGCCGCATTTCCAACCACACGGTGCAACCGCTTGACCTCTTCCTCCAATTGTGGCTCCAAAAACCAACATATGTTTTTGGTGTTTGCAAAATAGCTAAGTGATTGATATCCTGAGATCACAACTGTGCACTTGTCACCCATCTTTCTCCAGTAAGTCTCCAACATTGTTGGATCACCACTGTCACAAAAAATAAATAAATAAAAAATCACATTAACAAGAGGTAAAACAAAGCATTGCTATAATTTGTAATGCATGAGTAAGAGAGTTGTATTTATGATTTGCTTATTTCATTTTCATATGCATTTAACATGCATTAGTAAAATCTACATGCACAGAAGAGTAGTGATTTAAGGGTTATGGATCTTCTGTGTTAAAAATTGCTTGCTCTTTTGTGGTAATTCAATCACAACAATTACATTATATGAGAATTTTAATATACAATAATAAAAAAATATTATCAATTAATTATGAATGAATTGAGATAAAAGGTTGGTTTTTGAGATGCCAAATCCTTCAGTCTCATTTAGATTTAAAAAGCCAAACATGGCTAGTGTGTTTTGTAGGTAGGATCTTGCTTCCCTCCATTATGAGATTTGGACGGGAGAGTGTTGTTTTGTCCCGTAAGTTTTATCATGATAATCTGAATCATTTATTTTATATGATACTTTATATACTATTCAAACAAAAAATTATATTAATTCAATAATTGTAACATATTCAATTTATCATTTTTTTTTTTCTAAAAAAATAAGCAATAAATGTGTTTTTTAAAATAGGTCATCCATTTTTTATTTTATTTTTAAGTATAAAAAAATCGATAAATTAAACAAGTTATGATTATTGAATAGATCTATTTTTTTTTCTTCTTATAAATATATATCAAAAAATTTACAAAATAAATAATTTAAATTGTCAAAACAAAAATTCCAACTCAAACAATGAAAAGAATCTCAATTAGTTCATCCATTAATAGGCGGAGATGCGATGTCTTCAGTTTATAAGACGAGACGAGTCCTATCAGATTGGCTAACATCCTTATTATATTTCAGAGCAAACAAGATCCATCTAGTCCGTTAATTAGATTTGAGCGACATTGTGGGTCGATTATAAGTCATTTTAATGGTTTAAATTAATTATTTTTTAGTATTTTTTAAATTAATTATTTATGTAAAAAAAATTAAATTGATTAAATATTATTATTTTAAAAATAAAAAATTATACATAGTGTTTATGTTTTACAAGGCAGATGTTATTCAATTGTATAACTACTAATTTATATCAATAATATATTCAAAGAGAACTAAAAAAATAAATTATTAAAATTATTAATCCAATTACTGGACTTAAGAAATTAAAATATATACCCTAACCTCGTAAAACACTATTCGTAAAATATTTGACCAATAAGGTAGTGTTTCCGAGTGTGATTGTATACATATTACTATTGGCCAATGCGAAACGGCAACGCAAATCAAAATTCTTATTATTTGTTTTTTAATTACTTAATAAAAGTGAGTCAAAATATTCTGTTTATAAAATTTTTGTTACTATCACATAAATAATAAGGAATTACTAAATATATATATGTATATATTCTTTTTTATGATATTGAGTTTTAAATAAAACACCATTCATCAGTCTTTTAGTAATGAGATTTTTTCCTTTTGATATTATGATTTCTTGATACATCAATCTATACAGATCGGTATTAACTAATAAATAATTGTATTGTCAATATTAATACATAATACTATTTAAAATCTTTAAAAATAAATTAAACTTTAAAGAGATTTGAGAGAGAGAGAGAGAGTTACTGGTCGAGATTGATGATTGCATCGGACGATAGGCTCCTCTTCTCTCCCGTAGCTTCCGTGGAGAAGGTGCATTTGCTAACGCAAGCGGTATCCTGCTCTGTTCCACACATCTTCTCTCTCCTTTCACTCTCTCTCTCTCTCTCGCAAGCAAATCGAGTAACTCTCAATTATGTTTCTCTGGTATATATAGTTGATGGCAGGAGATACCGCTGATTTATGAATTTTCTGATTTTATTTCTCAAAATAGTCTAAGAAATTTTACTTATAAATTTCATTTAAGGAATGAGAATCTATTTAGTCTAAAAACATATCTTATAAACCAATTAGTCTCATTAATTTTAGAAATATAAATTTAATATATTATTTAAAATTAGATTTATGATTTTACCCTTACTTCTATGGGGTTTTTTTTTTCCAGGTCCCTGGTATTAACATTTTCTAGCATAAAGGACACCAAATATTTTCATAATGTCTAAGGTCCCTCAGGTTGATCCAGAGAAAATTAGTCCAGAGAAAATTGGCCCAGAGAAAATTGATCCAGAGAAATTATGAATTTCTTTTTTGGAGTTCAAACCCAGAGAAAATTCAAATTCTCTGGGAATTGTGAGAATATATATATATATATAACTATGACTGCCAATTAGGTGGAAGGGGAGAAAAGGGAAGGAAAGGGAGAAGGTATGGAGGAAGCTGCTGTGAGGAGGGAAGGGAAAGAAAAGGGATTCTGTTTCTCTAGACTCCCCAAACCCAAAGAAATTCTCAGACATACATTTCCAGAGATTCTCCCACCCAGAGAATTTCTCTGGACTCCACAATCCACAGAAAATTCCCAGCCAGAGAAATTCTCTCAACCCAAAGAATTTCTCTGGGCATGACCAGATGCAATAGCTGCTGTTGCCATAGCTTCTGTTTCTGTTGATATTCATGATAAATTGTGGCTTCCCAAATCATTAGATTCTAGTTCCTCCTCAGGAAAATCCCATTCTTTTATTTCTGATTCATTAGAAGAAATAAAGTCATCATGTGTGTCTAACATATCAGTTTCCAAGCTTGCAAACTCGTCATTTATAACCAGAATATCAGTACCTGTTCCTAACATAGCACAACCAATTTCCAATTCTAATCGTAGCTTTGTTCCAAAATTTTTGGGTTCTCCTGTTGCTTCTACTCCTGCTCTGCTCAACTCGTATTAGTCTGCAGAATTGGCCAAATCTGCAAAACCAACTGCATATCGATCAACAACCAGTTTACACCAAGTTTGACTTGGCCTTCTATATTTCTCATGTTTATTCTAAGCTTTTTTTGTTGGTCAATGAATGAACATTCACAAACTGGTTCTTAAATACACATCTAACCCAGAGAAAATTCAAATTTCTCTAGATTTAACCCAGAGAAAATTCAGTCCAACAACCCAGAGAAAATTTAGTCCAACCAAACCAAAGAATTTTGTAAGAACTAATTTGTGTGTATACTTTTTAAAAAAATCAAATTATTCATACTCAACTCATCTTCGACTTGTTAAAACTGCAACAAATTTTTTCATAATTTTTTTTTAAATGCACATAAATCAATTACCAAACAGGACACAACATATCTCTCCTTCCATATCTCTGAACCTCAGCAAGTACACCTTCAATGGCTCGACGTATCCTTCAAACCCTAGTGTCGTCATGGCCCAGAGCAAATCGTCGCCGGTGATGAAGCTGATGAACTCTGAAATGCACTCTTGAACTGTTTCCTTGGTGTCCTTGGAGATCTTGGCGTTCGCCGATAAAGCCTTTTTCATGATTCGACTCACGTTCGCGATCGGAAGGAACCTGTCTTGCTCCCTCGGTGATAGCTCGCTGTTCGAGTTGTTGTGTCCTCCTAATGGGTCAGATTCCGGCGGCGGTGGTGGTGGTGGTGAGAGTGGTGTGAGATGGGTGAGTTTAGGAGTGGGAATGGGGTGAGGGACCTTGGACTACAAAAGAACAGATTGTGGATCTAATCTATTACTAAAAGTTGGATAGGGACCTTAGACCGATTTTCCCTACTTCTATTGTATTTTCCTTATATATATATATATATCTTTTGTCCTAGAAAGGTAAAATATAAAACTTATAAAAATCAAATTTGAGATGAATTTTTATATGAGATTTTTTTTATTTTTATTTATTTAGAATGATTTGAAATGTGAGATTTTTTAAATATTTCAAAAGGAGTACAACATAAGTACAACTAGATCTCATCAGATATAACTAAAATAATGTCATAATTAAAAAAGAAAATTGATCATAAATAATAATAAAAAATTGACATATATAACTAAATGTGTATATGGTATGCCCTTTTTAAGGGTGTGTATATTATAATTTCCTTTTAACTAATCTTGTAGTAAAAAATTGGGACAATTAAAAAAAAATCCTTAAGTTTGACCTTTGTAACATAATAAATTTTTAATTTTTAATTTTGTAAATTTAAACTCTAACATTTTGATTTATTTTCAATTTAAATCATTTGTCTATTTTGGTTAACTAAAATCGACGAAAAATAGTATTTTAATTATTAAACTCAATATAAGTATACATAAAATATCTAAAATATCCATTTTCATTGAGTTTAATTTCATAAAATACCCTTTTTTTTAAATCAATTATACTTAAGGAAAATAGGCAAATGATTCAAATTGAAAGCAAATAAAAAAAATTTGAATTTAAATTGACAAAATTAAAAACTTAAAATTTATTTTGTTATAAAGTCAAATCGTGATTTTTATTTATTTTTATTTTTTAATTTTTTTTTGGTAATTGTCCCAATTTTTTAATACTTACCCAACCGATTTATAAGAAGATTATTTTGAGTGAGAAAGTCGGAAAATTCATAAATCAGCCGTATCTAGGGGTGAGCATGGTTCGGATTGGACTGGATTGGGGTAAAATCAGGACCAATCCGTTATCTACGGTTCCTGAAAAATTGGAACCAATCCAATCTGTTTAAATCATGGAACCAATCCATTTAAATACGGATTGGATCGGTTTAGGATCACGGATTCACATAATTAAATAACAAAAAAATATATATAACACTTTAATTTCATAAAAATATAAACATAGCGCTATATTAGTTCCACAATAGCAACATCTATTTCTATAATAGCGACATACTGTGTTAGAATTTAAACAATCATAAGAAAACTTGTTCACCATAAGTATTTAGACCATTACAAATTAAAACTAAAAACTAACAAACAAAAGTAATAAAAGAAGATATCATATGGTTTTAGGTTTGAGTTTAGATTTTATATAGAATAAGAGAAGATACTATGGGAGATGATGTATAATAAAAATATATACTATTTGTATATGTCCAGACCAGTTCCAATCCAGAACCGTGGGGTTCAATCCGGAACCAATCCGTGTACTACGGATTTTTAATTTTTCAATCCGGAACCAAACCATGGATTCAAAAAACCAATCCAAACCTATCGGATTGAACTGGACTGGATCGGATTACAAATTTTACGGATTCCTTGCTCAGCCCTAGCCATATCTCTCCTGCCATCTACTATATACACCCGAGACATATAAATGAGAGATACTCAGATTTGCTTGCTAGAGAGAGAGAGAGAGAGAGAGAGAGAGTGTGAGTGAGGAGAGGAGAGGAGAGGAGAAGAGGGAGAGAGAGAGAGAGAGAGAGGAGAGAGAAGATGTGTGGAACATAATATCTAATAAACTTTCAATGAGTTGGTGTCATGTTATATACACTCTTGACCTCAATGCAAGCACTCACTCTGCATTTATCACAAGGTATATTTGATTAGGAAAAAATTATATAATAGAAAGTGAAAGTAAAAGAAAGAAAACAAAAATTTATGCATTTGATTAAAACAAAATTATTGGAAGAAAGTTATACAAAAATGAGCAGTAAGATAACAACCGGTTAATTCCATGAGAACAAAAAAAAATCGTGTTTCTTTACAAGAAAGGAAAATCTAAGTTCTAATGCCGATAAGAGAGCTAGCACATAGGAGGGATTTCTTACTGAAACTGGCTCCTTCTCTCTTGTAATGATGTTGGACGACAAGCATAAGAGAGAGAGCCTCTCTCTCTTATTCCTAATATGGTAGTTTCACTTAATAATAGTTGTCTCTTATTCCTAATATGGTAGTTTCACTTAATAATAATTGTTTCACGGTGTTATAAGTTCAAAAAACTTGTTCTCTCAAGTATCTCTAGCCGAAGAGAGAATTTATTTATTAGAGTAGTTTCCTGGCATACTCCCCAAGAGAAGAAGCCACTACAAGAAATTTAATTTTCTTTTCTTACTACCCTTATGCTAAATTAATTAATGTGGAAAATGTTGCATTTTTTCTTTACTCATATTTTTAACTTTTTACCCATTAAATTCATGCTAAGTAAGCTTACTATATCTTTTATTTTGTTTTTTTTTTTTCACTGTCCAATGTTCAACATTTTTTATAAAGTCGAACTCCAAATCTCTCCTTAAATACGTATACCTACGAACAATCACTTAAACTGTACTAAATTCCATGTAACCTTGCTATTTTGGAAGGATGAACAAAATTGAAATGAGTTATTTTAACCTCTTGTAGGCTTATTAGGTGTCTTAATAGTTTGGCGACTAAACTGATTTTAGTCGCCATTTGTCCTACTTTCAGCGACGAAAATACTTATTTTAGTCGCCAATTCTGCATTTTCTTGTAGTGTGATTTGATCTTATAATATTATTTAAATTTGTGTATAGACTATTTGATAAAAAAATAATATTGATTTGATAATTTTAATTGCGTGATATTATCATATATGTTTCTAAATAAATAAACATCAAGTATGATTTAACAAAATATACCATTCATTTATAATAAGAAATAAATAAATATAATAAAATCATGCGAGTCCAATTATTGAAAAAAATTGACTTTTTCTCCGTTGATTTCTATCTACATGTAAGAATTTAAACTATTAAGGAATTGGATTAACCGGTTAAATTGCCAAAATAAACCATGTAATGTGTTTAACAGACTGAATTGGACCGTCCGTTTCCTTGAAAGCGATAGAGAATCCATTCTCTACAAAAAGCGATAGGACGTCCCACCTCATCCTCTCGATGACCTCGTCCTAACTAATTAATGGGGAGA